TTATAGAGGTTATTCTTGGCCATTTCTCGACATACCTTGAGAATGTTGTGGAGTTGGGGAGTGGTGGCGCAGAGGTTAGAGAGGTGGGCCTGTGATCCGAAGATCGCCGGTTCACGCCTCGGCCCCGACATCAAAATTGTGGGTGGGGTAGGTGAAACACCCACACCTGCCCCCACCCTCATTCGCCCCACCCTGGGCCAATGAGCAAGGCCCTTAACCCCCACCATGTGCTCCCTAAACAGGTCTCTCTTGAAAATGAGTTCTCGTCGCTCAATGAGACTAACCTGGATAAATAAAGGGTAAATGAAACACAAAAAAGAGCAATAAATATCATTGTTATAGTCAGTCACAACTACTTTTTTTTAGAATAAGTAGAAGGAAAAAAAAAAAAAAAAACACTATTGTGAAGAAGAAATTATGGAATCATGAGGAAAAACACTGTGTACCAGTATTGTTGTGCCACGTTTGCTTTTTATTGTTTGAATTTTCTGAAGTATGGACCTAACTCATGAAAACTCCATAACAAATGCTGTTCCTAGATCAGCTCTGCACGTTAGTCTTGTCATTGATCATTTTCCTCCAGAGATTTTCAACTGGATTGAGATCTGTACCGACTGACATTAAATACTTTTCTTGAAGCACTTTGATAACAGGTTCTGTTTTAAATGTGCTCTATAAATAAAGTTGACTTGACTTGAAGTGTTCATGTCCTTCGCTCTGTGGCAAGATGTCATTGTGAAAAATGAAGCCATCATCATCAAACATCCTTTCAATTGATGAAATGAGTGTACAAAGTTTTAATGTAGACTTTAGCATTTATTGAAGATGTAACCACGTCTCCCCTCATATCTTTACCTGACATGCAGGTTTAGATCATTAATGACTAGAAATGTACACATCTTCAGTTACTGTCATAATTAATATTTGTTTGGATGTTAATGAAAGCTTTTGTTGGATGCTCCTGGGTACATCCCATTCCCTTTAGGCGATTTCTTACAGTTCAATCAGACATTAGTTTCTGTCCACTTGTTTTGTTGTGGATTCCCCTTGTTTGTATGTGGTCCAGACTTTAGACACAGCTGACTGGGAACAACGAACATCTTTTGCAACAGTTCATGATGATTTACCTTCTTGAAGAGGTTTTAACCACCCCCCCCCCCCCACTTCATATGACATTTCTCCTTTTGCAGCCATTGTCACGGTTAATCCTCTTTGTGCAACAGCTCTCCAAGGCTTTTTAACGTGAACACTAAATAGATTGGATCTGACGCAGGTTTGTTTAAGAACTGTAAATTACAGTAACTCCATATTTTCTTCCTATATTTCATCTAAAAAAAAAAAGCAATTGTGACTGACCTTAACAAATATATTTATTTATTTATTACTAATGTATACAAAATACACAATTAAAAGAACATCCTTCAGGAGTAATTCCATAATTTTTGCCAGAGGTCGTATTGGGGTTGCTACAAATTGGGCACCAACTTGAAAATCATAATTCTTTTTTCACTACAAGCATAAAAAATAAAAAGAAATACGTCTGATCTATTGTAGAAACATCTATCGTAAACACGGTTTTAAAGAAGAAAAAAAGTTATTTCAAAGTTGCTTTAAAACTAACTTGTGTGTGAGTGTTTGTTGGAGTCTAACAGAGACGCAAAGCAGCACAGAGGAGAGGAGCGTAGCGTGAATTCACCATACATGGAGCGGAAACCAGCGCAGGTTAAACTGAGTCATCGACATGCGCTCTCTCCCTCTCCCACACACACATACACACTCCTACACACACACAAACTGTAATATCAGGACGAGGACACACATGTTCATATTCACAGCTAATATTTCACACATACTTTTGTAAACCCCTGCTCACCAGAAAAACACATTCAAGCGTCCATAAATAAACCACCTAAAGAAGTGTAAAAATTTAAATATATGACGTGTTTTCACATCTGGCCGCTCTTGGCTAATGCCTTTTGGAAAACAATTCAAACTTATCTTGATGAGCGCTGGTTTAGAAAAACATCAGCGCTGCACTGTTCAATTGAAAATAAGCTGAGGTCAGACCGTGGGCGTTAAAAAGTGATTTAAGACACATTAGGCATCACTAAATCCCAACTTTAGTGCCTAATAATAAATGCAGGTATGAAGTGAAAGCAGAGTCTCTGCACACCAACGTCTGAAGAGCTTCAAAGCTCTGAAGGCTGCAGTCTTCCATCGAACAAGTTCAATCTTCTTCCAAAAGATCTGTAAACACCTAAAACAAAAAGAACATGCAAACCTTGTCAAAAGTCAGTTTGTGTCATTTCCACATATTAACGCTGACAGAAAGGATAAACTAAAAGAAACAACATAATGTGTCATCACTGTGGTGCAGAAGGAATTTACGGTGCATACCCTGTTCAGATATGATCACATTCAAAAGTAAATACTTTTTTTTTTTACATTTAGGCTTCTGTGCCTGTTGTTACTGAATTTTGAAACTGTCTTAATTGCAGTGAGGTTTTAGCCTTTCTGTGTAAAGTACCCCAAAATACCCTGATGCATGCTCAATAATCCAGGTAGAAAAATCTAAAAAAGTTAAGTCAGGTCCTCTGGACTGAAGTCTTTCGGATGCAAGACGAAATGTTTCTACAATTTTATTTGTTTGAACCCATCTAGAGGACCTGACTTAACTTTTTCAGATACCCCAAAAATGCTTCATGTTATTTTGTGCTTTGGAAATAAAATGATAAGCAGTTCAAATTCACATAGAACCTTTTTAAACTTCACTCAAGTTTTACAAAGTACTTTATAATGTTTCTCATTCAACCACTCATACACTTCTATTATATATTTTACACTCTGTATATACAGCACTTTTATACTCTCACTCATACACCATTAGGTACTGTAAGTGGCCATGAGAAGGGGGCATGCTGCATTCGTTAGGAATTAAACCTCTGATCCTTCAACTAGAAGACAACTTCCACACCAGTGGGTTAAAGCTGCCCAGTAACTAGATTTATTTGAAATGGGGGAGTTGAGAGAAAAAACTACCCAAGTATGTACCTACTCATTACTACTCCACAGAATTTTTGATGACCTTAGTGAAGAAAAGATTCACTTTAAATATAATTTTCTTAGGATAAGAGATTGAAAATATTGCTAATGTACCTGATGCAACCTGCTGCTGTGCTTTAATCTGTCTCCTCGTCCTCTTTGTCTTTCTGAGACACGGGTACAACGGTTGTCCCTAACAAGCCTCTTCTCACAATGTAGGGGCAGGAGGGACCACTGGGGATGTCAGCAAAACCTGAAAGACAAAAGCAGGAACACAGATAAAACGTATGTAAATGATAAATGGACTGAACTCCTATAGCGCCTTTCTATCTAATCAAGATAATCAAAGCACTTTACAACACAATCTGTGCCCTCATTTACCCATTGATACAGCACTTTACTATTTCTGTACAAAGATCAGGAATTTATCACATTCAACACTGATGGGACACACATCAGAGGCAGTGAGGGGTTCAGTGTCTTGCCCAGGGACACTTGGGCATGTGACTGCTGGTGGAATCAAACCCCCAACTCTTGCATTGGAGGACAACTACTCTAACCACTCAGGCACAGCCGTCCCACGCTACGTAGTTAGCTATGTAATATGTAGATTAATTATTATTAAGTAGGTAACAGAGGGAGTGCAACAGAACAAATATAAAAATCTCTGAATGCAGAAAGACAATGGATGGATATAATATTATATTATATCTTAATTATTAACTTGCTTAAAAAATAAAATTTCTTATTTTCCTTCAGCCCTGCAAAATGACGGTAGGTATTTTTGGCCACTTGGGGGCAGTAAACATTTACTAACTGTTGCCTTTTTATTTAGTCAGAGTCAGAGAGTCAGAGTCAGAGTTTCTTTATTGTCATTCGCACCTCATGTGGTACATGTGGTGGAGCGAAATTATGTACACAGGGTCCCAGTTACATCCAACAATAAAATGTATAAGAAAAACAGTAATAACATCTAAGATATGAACTAAGAAAAACATCAACTAAATATACACTAAGCACTCATAACATAAAACATTGAACATCAGCACAAACATGAACATGAGTCTGTGAGCAGATGTGCACGCATGAACACATCAACATTTAAACAGATCAGCAGCAACATGAAACAGATCAGCAGCAACATGATATGGTTTTTCACAGTGATTATTCTAGTTAGAGATTCATGAGTCTAACAGCCTCAGGGTAGAAGCTGTTCCTCAGTCTAGTGGTTCTACACTTAATGCTCCTTAACCTCCTTCCTGAGGGGAGTGGGGCAAAAAGTGTGTGTGCTGGGTGGGTGGGGTCCTTCATGATGCAGGTGGCCCTCTTCCTGCATCTGGAGGTGTAGATGTCTGTGATGGTGGGGAGGCTGATTCCGACAGATTTCTGTGCAGCCTTCACCACTCTCTGCAAAGCTTTCCTTTCTGCAGCTGTGCAGCCTCCATGCCACACATTGATGCTCGAGCACAGGATGCTCTCCACTGCACACCTGTAGAAAGAGGTGAGGACTGAGCTTCCCAGACCAGCTCGCCTCAGCCGTCTGAGGAAGTAGAGTCTCTGATGAGCTTTCTTGATCAGGTTGGTGGTGTTGTTGCTCCAGCTGAGGTTGTCATTCATGTGTACACCCAAGTACTTGTAGCTGGAGACCACTTCCACCGCAGATCCTCCTATGTTCAGGGGGGTGTAGATGTTTTTGTTCCTTCTGAAGTCCACAATCATCTCCTTTGTCTTCTTCACATTGATGTGAAGGTTATTCTCTTTGCACCAGCTCTCCAGGTGTTCCACCTCTTGCCTGTAGCTGGACTCATCATTGTTTGTGATGCATCCCACCACCGCTGTATCATCTGCAAACTTTACAATGTGACAGCCTGGATGGGTAGCAGCACAATCATACGTGAGCAGAGTAAACAGGAGGGGACTCAACACACATCCCTGAGGAGAGCCAGTGCTGAGGGTTATGGTGGAGGAGGAGAGGTTGTGGATCCTCACTAACTGTGGTCTGTTTGTTAAAAAGTCTAGTACCCAGTTGCAGATGGAGGGGCTTAGTCCTAGTGTGGAAAGTTTGTCCATCAGGGTTTGGGGGATCATGGTGTTGAAGGCAGATGTGAAGTCCACAAAGAGCATACGGACGTAAGAGTTTTTCTGCTCCAGGTGGTTGAGCACAGTGTGGACCACAGAGGAGATGGCATCCTCTGTTGATCGGTTCTCACGGTATGCATACTGATGAGGGTCCTCGTTGATGTTGATGGTTGTTTTGATGCGAGTCATGACCAGTTTTTCGAAGCATTTAGCGACTATCGGGGTGAGGGCCACTGGCCAATAGTCATTCAGACCAGTCACTGTAGAGCTTTTTGGGACTGGGATGATGGTGGCAGTCTTCAGGCAGGTGGGAACTGTCTCCAGGGTAAGTGAGGTGTTAAAGATGTCTGCCAGCACCTCACAGAGCTGATCAGCACATTCTTTCAACACTTTTCCAGGGATGTTGTCTGGGCCAGTTGCTTTGTGCGGATTAATCCTCCTGAAGGTATTTAGTTGGATATAACTGGGACCCTGTATACACAATCTCGTTCCACCACATGTACCACATATGTTGCGAATGACAATAAATAAACCTTGACCGTAACCTTGATTTATGGCAAACCCGTCACTAAATAGTTTCTTATTTACACATATTAAAACTCAGAGAAAACATGGGCACTAATAAAAAGTCCTGTTTGTGTCCAAAGTAAACTCACATCTCTCACATCTTTTTACGGTTTTTGGACTCTACTGACTCCAGTATAAAACTTAGTTCTGTGTTGTTTGTCCACCAAGTCATATTTAGAGCTTTTTAGCTCAAAGCTACGAGCTGATTCACTTCACATAAACCACAAATCTATGACAATTTAAAATGTTTCACTCGACAAAGTACAGTAATATTCAACGGTACCTTTCATGACGACTTCAGGCAGGCCGTACGGCTCATACTCTGTATCATCAAAGGCAGCCGAGAGCTGGGTCCGGTTGCGAAGTATTCTTTCAGCAAGTCGGGCCGGGTCAGCTGGAATGGGAAAAGAACCTGAAAGTAACATTTTGTCGCCTGACTCAGGCTTCTCTAACAAGACAGGAGGAGAATCCACCGATTCTTTGTCATCTTCTAAATCCTCCTCCGTCTGTGTGCTTGCACACGTTTTGAAGGCGCCATAAAAGTACAAACTTTCATCAGTTTGGCTGCTGGCACTTTTTATTCCTATCTTGACGTTTTTGTTTGCAGTCTTAAAGGTTGTGTTTATTTCACCGTTTCCTCCAAAAGAGTCTGGTTTGGTCTCAGGAGCTGGAGTGAAACACTCCACAACTTTGGTTGGATTTGTCACGGAGACTCCGTGAGGATCTTTGGCAGTGCTGAGTTCAGTCATTTTCAGTGACGACGTTTGAACGAGGTCTTTCCTCGCTTTGTTTTGTTCTGGACAAGCATCTGCCCGCTGTAAATTAATCTCCAAGTTTTCTTTTTCAGATTCCTGTGCAAACAACAAAACAGTAAATAAAGATGTTATTGGTGCACAAGTTTTCTCTAAAAATGCTCCATGTAAAAAAAAAGTAGCTAGGATAAATGTATTAAACTTTGATGCAGAAATGCTAAAATAAAAACTAATTATTCACCTTTCTAACCGTGTAACTAATTTATTTTACTATAATTTCAACCAAATTGCACAGTTCCTTAAAAGCAGTACTAAATTATTATTAGTAGTAAAATATATTTAAATTACGGAGTTGCAAGATAAACAAGAACTCAGTTCTCATTCCTTTTTAAATGTACCAATTCTTAGTTTAAAAAAAGTCTTAAAACAGTCTGCGTGAAACTTTTTTTAATATCAAACATACTCTGTGCGGTCAGTCTGCATTTTGTCTGAGAGTACTGAACAGATGTTGAAATACTGTATATTATTTACAAATTCTTATATAAAGAAAAAACAGGACTTGTGCGTACCATGTCTGTTTACAAAGAACAGCTCTTTCATAGCATCTTGCCTGATGCAAATGAATTTACAAGATGAAGTCAAACTCTTTTTGACACTTTCCATTAGTTATTCATGAAACTACAGAGAAATGTGAAGGGTAACCCTTAGATTCCAGCATAAAGATGAAAATGGAGAAAAACTGTGATACAATAGTACTGAATTAAAAAGATGAAATAAAATCACCTGGTCTATCTTGTTCTGATTGTTGTCTTGAGATGTTGCGGTCTTTAGCGAAGAGTTGAGGCTCTTTGGTTCAGGAAGGTTGCTTTCCTGAATTCTTAAGGTGAAAAACAAAAAAGATCATTCCAGCAGAAATATGACTCACGACAAATACTGTAGAAAATGAATGTTATTGATATTTTTGACACTCTAATCAAACGTCAGTATGAGTTACCTGGAGAACAGCATGCGCCCTCGCAGTTTGTTGGAGGAGCAGCAGAACGATAACTCGTCTTCTCTGATGACTGTGACGATTTCCTGACTCGTCTGTGAACCCCAAAGGGGTTCTTGAACCTGGGTTTGGACGATAAGTGTTTGGTTTTGGGTTCCTGTTTGGCAGTGAGTGACTTCATCTGTCGGCCTTTGGTCTGACTTGGACTGACTGCCGGCAGAGACCTGATCCAGAGGTTCACACTCATCCTCTGTGCTGGGAAGGAGATGGTTAAATGTTGAGGCTGGTTGGGAGGCCAGTCTCCACACAGAGAGCTCTTGGGCCTGCGCCTCAGTCTCCTCAGAGAGAGCCCTTACTTTTCTCTGTAGCGCCTCCACCTGGACAGGAGAGATGGGACAGAATGAAACAAGTTATAAAAGTTCCTGGAAACAACAAGAATACAGTAAGAGTTATTTATGAGAATAGTTAAAGTAGTAAATTTGTCTTATTTCCCTCTTACTATTTCACATCAGAGTACAGATACTAAATTTAAGAATAAACTCACTTTCATGTTTAAAACTACCAATATCTACATTAAACTCTGCGGTGACTACTTTAAACATTTTGTTCCTTGTACAGAAGAAAAGTTAATTCAGTTTGTTTACCTGTTGCTGCAGGTAGTTGACCTGAACCTTAGACACTTCCTCCTGATCATTTTCACATTTCATGGTTCTCCTTTCGTCCCTTTCAAAATCTTGACCTTCATTTTCATTCTTCTTCACAATTTCTTGCACCGACTCCTGCTCCTTTGTGTTGTCATCCTTTTTTGTCTCTTGCTCCTCCAATCGGGACAGAGGAGCAGAGCTTTGGCTTTGTTTGACTGAGACATCTTGGTTTTCACTTTCTGTCTGTAGTGTTGGGTTTCTGGTGTCTGAGACGCTCAGATCCTCTAGTTTTTGTTTCAGCTGCTGATTTTCCCATCTGAGAGCTATCAGCTCTGTAAGCACAGCCTCCCTTCCTTCATTTTGACTGCAGTGATCTTCTGCCACCTCACAAGCGGACTCATGGCAGCTCTCAGAGTTATTCAAGTCTACAGTGACTGGTTGCTTTTTTTCAGCTGTTCCTGCTTCACTGTCGTCTTCAGGTCCAGATGTTTCAGCATCACACGTCTCAAGCTTTGGTTGACTTGCATCAGTCTGCACATTCAAGTTATCTAATGGGTCTGCAGTGTTAAAAGTGACAAAACACTTATTTTCTTGTTCAGGCTGGAGATCTGATGTTTCTCTTAACTTATCATCTCTTAGTTTCTTTTCCATCTCTTCTTTTCTTTCCGTTTTCAGGACATCCAGCTCTTGCTTGTATCTCATCAGCTCTCCTTTCTGACTGAAGAGGGCGCTCTCCTTCTCCTGAAGCTCAGTCAGAAGGCCTGCGATGTGCTGCGTCTGCTTCTCAAAGGCCAGGGTTAGCTCATTGGTTTGACGTGTCACCTGTGGGGGAAACAGAGGAAAACAGGTTGAAGAAAAACCTTTTACAAGCCATCAAAATTTGGACTTTACCCTGATTTCAGAGCCACTTACAGCATGCAATTTACACATTTAAAGCAAACAAAATGCTCTCTAAACTAAAATGCTTACTGTTTTAGTTCTAAAATGTGTAATTTTTTTTTATTTGCCTACATTAGATTGAAAACTACATTCCTAAAGTAGCTGGAGTTAATGTGATTAGGCTTTATCAAACACAGCTCAGATAGCTTTCTAAAGTATTGAGTGTTTAATTATCTTCAACCAGTCTGTGATGTTCTCTCAGTTAAAGCTGATATTAGACAAGAACAGAAAAATAAAAGCTGTATTGCATCTGCTGCTGGGGTTTAAAACATTTAATAGTCGGGCCAGACTCTCTCTTTTCTGGTTTTCTTTATTTCAGGGTTCCTAAAATTTCATGGAAACAAAATTCCCAGAGTTTTTCCCTGAATAAACTGAAATTCCAGGAGACATTTCAGTCACGCAAAATGCTCAGAGCTTAGTGTCTTAGGTGGTAAAAGGATTTACTGCAGCAGTGAATTAGAAATATATTGTAGCCTACGATACGTGCATACGGTAATCATTCCTAATAATTACTTATAATGAATAACATCAGATACTAAAGTCTCCATAGCCAATCAGTAAGGATGCATGCACTTTGTACACTGTAGAAGCAGAACTTATTGATGCTAGAATCTTTTGTACATGTCAAAATCTCATACAGATCTTTTTATTAATCTGCAGATCAGTGTTCAAATTCCTTGAGATTTTCCTGTCTGGAAAATGTGTAAGTCATTTTCAAGGTTTTCCATGATTTCCAAAGTCACTGGGAACTCTTGTGTTTCTCTGATGACTTTGCATCACAGTAAATCCATACCATACAAAATAACACTGAAATAAACCAATACATTATTTTGTATTTGCCAGTTTGTAAAGAGATCCTTGTTTGTGGGCAACCTGCTTATGTCAGATCAAAACTATACTTATTGTGCTGACTTCTAACAATCAAAGAACGTGGAGTATGTTAAAATTAAGAATTCAAGTCTGCTTTTTATTCCTTTACGTACTTACCTGGATCTGCAAGGCGTCAAACTTAACCTGGTTCTTGTTAGCACGTTCCGTCTCCTTTGTATACTTCCTTCTCAGGCGTTCAACTTCTTTTACAAGATCAGATGAGTGAAGCTCATCACTCTGGAGGCCTGATGAGAAAGACTTTTCCTGATAGTTCTGTTTACTCTCTTCCATTTGAGCTGTTTGACCGTCAGGATGGGCGATTGCTTCTTTGGACATTGGTGTGTTGTTTTGGTTGGTGGACTCGCAGAAGACGAGGCGCTCCTCTTGTGAAGGAAGGAGTTTGTCGTCGTAAGAAATGATGTTGGAGTTAAGTTCATCTTCATGCAGAGTCAGCAGGGGGCTGTTGGCAAGTCGCTCCACTTCTGCCGATTCTTCATTTCTGTGGTGAGTTAGATCCTCAACATCAGCCATTATCTCTGCCAGTTTCATGCTCAGCTCGTTTTTTTCATCCATGTCGGTGTTTATAAATTGGTTTCTCTCCTCCTCTTCTTGCTTTCGTTCCTCCCGTTCTAAAGCAAGCTGGGCTTTTACCATTGCCAGCTGATTCTTCAGTTGAATATTTTGTTCTGCCAGCTCACTCTCTCTGTCTTCTTGTGATATGTTGTCCTCTTCCTGCTTAGTTCTCTCCGTTTTGTCTTGTTCTTCTTTACTTCTCCCGATCTCTGCCACCAGAGCAGCGTTAGCCTTCTTCAGCTTTTCTGTCTCAGCTTTCTCATTTTCCAGTTTTGCCCTCCATTCCTTGTCTTTCTCCTCCCTCTCCGCAGCCTGGCTAGTGTGTTTTCGGCTGAGCTGTTTGAGGCGTGTCCTTGCTTCTGCCTCGGCCCTTCGCTGAGCTTCCAGGTCCTCTAAACGTCTCTGGAGTTCATCGCGTACATCACTTAGCTCAGTGCGGAGTTGGGCATTCTCCCTCTTTAGATCTTCAGAGGGGATGGTTTGTTCAGATCTGAGAACATGTGTGCTTTCAGGAGGAAGTGACAAACTTTGTGCCAGAGGGGACTGTTTGACATATGTTCCTCCATCCACAGAGGAAAAGATGGGAGCAGAGATGTCACATTTTATTTCCTCATCTCTACTCTTGCTTCCTTCTTCATTACTTGTTCTAAACTGTCCTGCTCTTTGTAAAAACTCTGAGTTTGTCATGGCAGTGATGTGCTCAGCATCAATTCCTTCTCCTGGCTCTCTGTCAGAAGGATAAGACACTGTTGTCTCTGGTCTGTTCTCGTCTACTCTGTCTTCCCTCTTCTGCTCAGCTTGGGAAGCTGCAGGTCTCCTGCTGTGGGTCGGTGGTCGAGGAGGATGAGCTGAAGAAGACTGAGACACGAAACTCTGACCAACAGGGCAAAATGGGACTGCTTGTTGAGGGGGTGCTGGAGAAGACTTTTGTTCTGGAGTTAAAAATAAGACAAAAACATTTGAAAGATATAACATTACCATCGGAAGCAACATTTTCTATAGATAATTCATTTTCAAACACACACAGTAATGTGTTGGAATAAATCTAAATAATAATCTTATGTATGATCAGAGCAGCATACAGGCATATGAGTATTTGAGCAAGGCTCTCACTCCTAAGTTGAAAACAACCCTTTCACTTTGACCGATGCAACTTCTGAAGTGTTTGATGAGAAAATAGTGTTACATAAAAGCAAAGTTCTGCTTTAAAGCTTTTAAAGGTCAAAAGTGTAGCCTTTCAGACAAAGAATTATGTGATGTCATGGCCGACCAACAATCTGCAGCGTTTGTTTTTTTTAGAACATTTGGAGATTTCTGGACTGAAGTTCATCAAAGTGGATAAACGATGCCACCTAGTGGCCTAATGTGTCACATCTTGTAAATAAAAGGAATGTTATTCATTAACATTTGTCACAGTTCTCTCTAAATAAGGCACCATTATTTTACAGTGTTGAAGTTACAATAAACTAGTTACATCATTATCAAGATGGGGCACCAGCAGCTTGATCATTTTTACTGTAGTCATAAAATAGCACTAGTCTACAGGCTAAAGTCCTACTTTAATAAACTGATGACATCCTGATCACTGATGTAATTGTGATGAAGTAATGACCACAGATGTATACAAAATGTCACCAAAAAAGGTCCCGCAGATTATCATTTGCAGCTAATCTGAAGTTTTAATTGCACCTCACTATTAGAGGCAAAGAAAAATGTAATATGTATTTGTTTAAAAAAAAAAAAACGATGCACAAAATGCAACAGAAACTTAGGCACAATACTGTTATTGTTAAGTGATGTTCAAATCAATAGTTCATATCTACTGCAGAAAATTTCAGCAAGACGTCATGTCAAATTAACATTTTGGAAATAATCCATCCATTCATTATCTTTTACCCGCTTCATCCTTTTCAGGTCACGGGGGTCACTGGTGCCCATATCCAGCAGTCACTGTGTGAGAGGCGGGGAACACCCCTGGACAGATGACAAGTCCATCACAGGGACACATAGAGACAAACGAGACAAACAACCATTCACTCTCTCACTCACACCTAGAGACAATTTAGAGTTACCAATCAGCCTAACATGCATGTTTTTGGTCTGTGGGAGGAAACCGGAGTTTACGGAGAAAACCAGCGCATGCACGGACAGAACATGCAAACTCAGACCCCAGCTGGGATTTGATCCGGCGACTTTCTCGCCAAGAGGCAACAGCTCTACCAACTGAGCAGCCGTGCCGCTGTATGGAAATAACATTAAGTTAAAAAATAATAATAGTAATAATAATAATTCTCCTAAAAGTAAAAGACTATTTCAAAATTTTAAAGCTAAATTATAAACTAATTTACAAGTCTTGATTTTATAATAATGAACACTCAGTTAAGTAGAGAACACAAATGTCAAGTCAAGGATCATCCCTGTTACAAATCTCAGAGATTCCTCCCCAGAGTTTGCTCCTCACCCTGCAGTTCCTTGAGGAGACGCAGAGTGTCAGCCTGCTCCTCCTTCAGTCTCCTCCCCTCCTCCTCCAGAGCTCGCTCTTTCTTCCTGCTTTGCTCCAAAGTCACAGCCACACCCTCGGCCTCACGCACTGCTTCCTAATGCAAGAAGAAGAAAAAACAATGATGTGGATTAAATGATTTAAATTCAGTCAGACGAACACATCTCTTCATTTCACAATGAGGGCTGAACTTGTTTAGGCATTTCAAAGAAGAGGTCAGGTTGGATGTATGTTCTGTTGATACTGACAATGGGTTCATCAAACAATTACCACATATCATCATATCATATTATCCTCAACGTCTTTAACTTCTCAAAGTTGGACTGACACATAACAAGTGTATTATTCTGGAATTGTTATATTTGCACCTGGATTGTAAGTTTGAATGTCTTTTTTCAGGACTTTTGTTTTGGATAAGGACTTTTGGATAAGGAAACGTTACGCAAGAGCAAGAATATTAGGAACTTCATGTAAGCAGTTTTACAAGAACATGAACAAACAAGTTACAGATAAAAGAAGCATCAGCAGCTGCTTCATGCAGGTACACAGTGAGCTTTGTTTGCACACTCCGTTTAGTTTTAGCTGAAGACAGACTTTTAATTTAATCAAATTCATTGATAAAACTTTCATTTTCAGTCATTTAAAGTTAGGTTGTTCAAATATTATAATGTTGTTTTTTTTACACAATGACTTTTAGGTGAGGAAACCAAACTTTAATTTTGATTTAATTTAAATAGTGATTTTATTTTTTTAAGATTTGTTCAATTATTTTTCATGCAAGATCTTACCTAAAATAAAACATTTTAAAGAATGCAACCATTATTTACTTACTGACTCATATTTTATTTGTTGGCCTACTATTAGACGGACATATGGCACACTGTTTGAAATGTATGGAGGTCACAATATGTCCAACACTCAACTAATTAATAAATCATGTTTGTGCGTGTGTGTGTTACCGTCAGTTTGGTTTGTGTCTGAGCTTCTTTCTTCTGACTCTCCTTCAGTTGTTCCTCCGTCCACTTCAGTTTCTCTTTCAGAGTGTCCAGCTCTTTGTCCAACGCCTGCTTCTGTAGAGCCAGCTGGTGAAAGAAATGACCGTGTAAGAAAACTGGGACTGTAAATTAAACAACTGAATGACAATAAATATATATATTTTTTTAAAAACAAGGTCAAACAAATTCAAGAAAGGCTTATGCTTTAAGTGCAGAGTTAATAAAGAAAACAAGAGGTAAGAAAGCAGTGATTACTAATTCAATATTTCTTTTCATTAGTTTCCAGGGAAACTAATAATGTCTTAATTTGATGCGTGTATACACAAAACAGTCATCAAAGTACCAGTAATGTACTATAGTACTGTGCAAAAGTCTTGGGCCACTCCTTTTTCATTTTGCTTCCACAGAGCCAGGTTTTCTTATAATCTTTGCCACCGAGTCATATTTCTCCAGATTTTCTCTGAACACAGCTTGGTTTTTTCACTTCTTTTCAATTTATCCGACTATTTTCAGATATACTTGGTTTGTTTTATTTGTTAATCATTGTAACTCTCAACTTATAAAAAGCATTAAATTATAAGATGTCTTAAAATATAATGATAAACCTGTTTTGTGTCTATAACTATCTACCTAGAATAAATATATATATATATATATATATATATATATATATAGTTATTTAAGCAAAAACATTAATTTTTTATTATATTGTAAATTTGACGCCGGGTGCCCGTCCTGACGCAACCACAGACCACTGAGCTACCACAGTCCTCTGTGTGGAGCAGAGAGCTGCTATCTAGGGCGCCCAGGGGAGCAGATGGTGGGGGTTAAAGGCCTTGCTCAAGGGCTCAAAATGGGGCAAATGAGTGTGTAAACAGGTGAGGGTGTTTCACCTTTCCAACCCACATTTTGATGTTGTTGGTCCTGGGAATCAAACCAGCGACTATCCGATCACACCACCTTCTCTAACCTCTGCACCACCACTCCCCCATATTTAAACATAAAATAAAATATCTGCACCGATAAGGATTGTCAAAGAGCTATTGGTTGAAAACGTGGCACAAATTAAGAAGATCATCTGAAGGATGATGCATCTCTGAGTCTTTGCTACTCTTTTTATATTTGTTATAGACAGCTCGACTAATCTATAAGTATTGCAACAAATATTTTTAATGCTTATGACTTCTTTTTCTGTCCTCATATTATTCAGTTTCCTCTTTTGTAGGACGCACTGTGCAGCACGGCAATATACACAAAGTTTTCAGATAAAAAAACATGCACTGAAAATGGGGGGGAAGGTCACAAATAAATAAAGAAAAACTTTGAAAGAACTTCGAAAAGCCTGAAAACTTAATTGTTCTTGGCCACAAAAAAAAAATTGCAAACTGGTCTATCTCCTTCAAGGGAAAAAAATTGAAATAAATAAAAGAATAGGTGTGGTTCAAGATTAAAGACACTACTGCAAGCAGCTATGTTGTTCCAGTTTTGTTAACTACATTGTCTTCATCAATTAGTGTTTCGAGTCGTTCAGCACATTTCACATTCATTATTTTCACGTTCCATGCATCATATTTGACTCTAATATGTTCATGCTTCATTGATTCTGTGCTTGAAATAACATGTTCATTACAAGGTTGTAAACATCGTGAAAAATCAAATCTGCAAAGGTAAAACTTCAGAGTTTAGTACAGATCTTTAAACAGTAAGTGTATATGTGTACTAGTGAACTTGCATTTCTCAAAACGTAGAACATTACTGCTGAGAGAAGTGACAATGACTGATTTTTTTTCCGCCTTGCAGCTTCCTGGAACAACTCAACACCTAACGTGTCCAACGAGTGAATCAGGTATCAGCTGACTCTGACGTTGCAGCTTTTCCAGCGTGTGGGAAGATTTATGCAAACATTTCCCAAGCTTTGCAATTATCTGTTTGAAATGTTGCCCACTAACTTAAAGCACACACACAAAAAAACAGCTGAGAAATGAAATGTTAAATTTAGACACAATAAGATTATGTAAACAGGTTTTGTGAGTTTCTTGTGACTGAGACTCCATGCACATAAAAGCAACCAGTGCAAAGTGCTCACTATCCCATCATTCACCACACAAGCAGCTCCTATTGTGAGTAAAACGGTCATTTTATTGTTTGTCTAATCGCTGTTGCTAAAGCAGCTATGACAAGAAAGGGTTTTGGTTTTAATGGACACTGTGGTTCAAAAATTCTAAGGAATTCTTAGTTCTTAAGAAATTTTGCACCTTGTTTAAAACCACAAAACTAAAACGAAGAAAACTACCGTACTTTCCGCTGTACACGTTGCACCGCCATATAAGTCACATCAGCCCAAATATGTCTAATAAAGTGGAAAAAAACATAAATAAGTCACTTCGCCGTATAAGTCTAATCTATTATGCGTCACCACTGACCACCCGGAAATGTGGGCCGGAGTCGTGCCAAAAATCGATTGGCTGCCAAATGGCGCCGTGGGAGCGTCCACAGGAGGACTTTAACAAGAATTTAACAAAATTAACACTCAAAAACAATAATTTATTTGCTTGAAATTATAACATAAGTGTTGAACTTTTCCTTAATAAATGCTCTTTGATGGTCAAATCAGCTGCATTTCAAAAGCCGATTCGTGGTTGCGGGAGTGCACAGAGGGAGGACTCGCTGTTCATTTCTTCAAAAATTAACAACATAACCACCTAAAAACAATTATTTGTTTGCTCGATATTATAGTAAAGGTGTGTCTCAGTTGAACTTTTCCTTAATAAATGCACTTTTATGGTCAAATCAGCTGCATTTCACCTGGGCGGCGCAGAGGAATGAAGCTGATTTGACGTTTGGTCCAAGAGTTCCGGAGCGAGACAAAGGTAGTTTTGTATGGCAAGCCAAGTGTCTCATTAATAGCCACTTTTACCTATTAGTGAGACACTTGCCATATACTCATGCGCCCTCTAGTGGCTGAAAATGGTAGTGTTCAACATTTTCCATGTCTGAATGAATGAAATTGTCAGATCTCAATCAAAAATCGGTTTATGAATATGGGGAAAAAACATATATTAGTCACTTCGGTGTATAAGTCGCAGGACTTGTAAATTTATGCAAAAAGGTGCGACTTATACAGCGAAAAATACGGTAGATTTATTTTATTTTGCTATGTATCTCATGTTTAAAAAGGTAGAATTAAAACATTAGTAGTAGTAGCTTCAAAAAAATTGTTAATCCATCTGTGCCCAGTCCCTAAAGCTTAAATAAGATTTCTGACTGTTTTCTTTACACACACAAACTTATTAAAGGTTATGAGTTTGTTTAATGGTTGTAGCATCAAAACACCACCAAGTATGTCAAATGTGATCACACTGCCATTACCTTTGCAGCTCAACTTTTCCACTGGGGAGAAACCAAGAGGAGAGAAGAGGAGGTAGCAGGTGGGTGGGAGATAGAAACACTCAGAGCGAGAGAAAAAAGCAGAGTGGGAGGAAACAAGGGCAAGAAGCAAGTCTGGGAGAAGAAAAAGACAAGTTTATTGACCTTTTGTACAAATATTAATAAACAGTTGCACAAAAGGGAAAGAGAGAAGGGGAGAAAAGTTTGCATTAAAAGAAAGATAAAGGAAATGACTGAAAAGGGCAGACAAATTAAAGCAACAGCAGAGTATGAAGCTGGTGCACAGTTTCCAGTGTTGATACAGACCCGTTTGTGGTATTATTGTTTTAAAAGGAACCGTTGTCCTCTTATCATTTTGGCACCTTGTGTTTGTATTCACCTTATCAGCCTGGGCCTGCAGAGCATTGTGGGTCGTACGAGCCTGCTGGAGCTCCTGATTCAGCTTATTCACCTCCTGCTGCTGTTGTTTCTCCAGACACTGCCTCTCCTTTTGAAGTTCTGCTACATCCTACACCCACACAAACATTTAGATATTGAACAGGTGCAGGAAAGAGAACTACATGTTGCCTTTTCTTTCTCCAAGTGTCGGTCTGACCCTCTGATGCTGTTTCTCCAGCTCCCTTGTCCGTTGTTGGTGCTGCAGCCGACTGCTTTCTGCGTTTTGTCTCTGGCACTTGAGCTCCTCTTGAAGCTGTTTCAGTCTATGCTCAGTTTCTGATGCCTGTCATTGACAAAATAAAAAAAGAGCTTTTAGATGCATTTCTTTAAATCACATTTTATGTATGGCAACGTATAGAACTATTATTTGGGCAATACATTTACTAATTTAAACCTTTTCAGTAAGAAAACATATGTGGTACATCGTTTTGAAGCTGCTTTTTTGTTTTTTTTTCATATCGGGGTTTTAAATGTTAAATAAACTCCAATCACTTGCATATCCACATTTCAAAAGGTTTAGATCGAGCTTATGTTAATGGTCAGATTTGTGAGCTTTGTGTGTAATTTAAAAGAAATGCTCTTAAGTAATTTAACAGGTTCATGACAGTAGCTCACTGTTTATCCTATTATAACTGGTTAATGATAACTAAGGACATTCTAACGTTGGAAGAGCTTTAATTTCTGCACTTCATATAAACAGCAGATGGAAATCATTGAGATATATCACAAAAATAATTATTTAAACAACTGAGGTCAACACTGATGTCAAAACACAGCTCTGGTGGCAGCAGTAGCCCCACCTTCGCTATCAGTGGTGTTATCGTTGGGTGTTTTTACCCGCTCTTTGTCCTGGGCCATGCGTGTCTGTGCCATACTGAGCTCCTCACAACTTTTCTGCAGGCTGAGCTCTTTGGCAGCGAGCTCCTTTTTGGTTTGCACCATTTCGTTCTGAATGGACTTCAACATCCCGACTTTTTCAGACAGCCTGTCCTCCAGAGCTGAGATACAGCTCTGCAGTTCTAACGAAGACGCTGGTGGTTTGAGGAAACACAGAAAGACATGCTAGATCAATAAGGTTGTTTGGATAAAAATATATTTATACTGTAATAATCTGAGCAACTTTGATCTTTATAGTTTTTAAAGACTAAAAATGAGAATAAATACAGTTTGAATAGTAGATAGTGTGCATAAATGTTCTCCCTTTTTTATGCATTTAACCCACATGATTCTCAATGCACACATGCTGCAGAGGCAGTCCTTTAATATACAGGAAATACATTTTGTAAATAAAATACCACTACCCCAAAAATTATGCCACTCTTTATGGAAATCCTGATCAATTTAATCAGTCACATAAGATGATTTCTGAGTCTCTGTCTGATACTCGCATTTTTCTACTTGATCAAATTGGGGCATTCCTAAATTTTATATATTTCAAGGCTCTAATTGCGTTTGTGTTAGTTAAATTTTCATGCCATTTACTACAAATTATCAAGAGGTTTGAACCCAAACCATCTTTGTGTGGAAACACCTGCTCACAAATATTATGTTTCTAACGTTGAATGGGTGAAAGGTGACTGAGTGTGGGTGGAGGACACCAAAACAAGCGAATGAAAAAAACAACAACTTTGAAATAATCCATATATCTTAACATCACTCTGGAAAACAAACATTATCAGCATGAAAACTTGGATATGAGAAAGGTAACAAAGTCAGAATAGCAGCACACAGTTGGGGTCTTCATAAACGAGGTCAATCTATAGATACAGGCTCAATAACAAACACAGATGGTGTCACTCAGTACAGTGATCTTTGACCTAAGCTGGAAATGGCGACCTGAAGAGTTAAAAAAATGTATGTTTTGTGATCTGACGCTAATTATAGTAAATTCTGTGTTTGCATATACCTGTCATTACAGGTGTTTTATTCAAAGTGTTGTGTACAACTAATCTAAAATAACATATAATAAGTGTTATATAATAAACAGTTAAAGGTCAGAAGGGATATAAAAACAAACAGGAAAAACACTGATCCTCCCACCCTGGTGTCTCTGGCAGAATTTGTTGTTTCACGTGAAACTATCCCGTTCCTCCTCAAAACAAATACTGAGAAATGTTGCAGCTGAGAAATGTCTTGCATCATAATTTTAAAAAGTGCAGCAGGAGCCACTGTGCATCGTGAAGCTGGTTTTGTAGCAGCCAAAGAAAGGAATGTCTGGCTGAGCTCGACTTCTAAACAACCTCTTATGAAGCAAGTGTTAGCAAGGCAGAATATTTATCTGACATGTTGACTAATTTAAACAAAGCCTGAAAAATTCTTTGGACCAACCAATTTGACTCTAATCCAACAGCCTGTCTCAACATTTTAGGACTAAGTTAAAAGGATAACAGTGTGCCCATGCTGGCTTCAGTCCTTACAGTAATCCAACTTTTTAATCCTGTTTTAAAGAATAAAATCTGCAGGAATTAGATGCATGTGCTTCAACAGCATTTTAAACTCCAAATGGATCAGTTGGTCCACTGAACATCCTCACTTACTGTCTGTCTCCATCTGCTTGTCCCTTTCCTTCCCACCGGTCCTCTGCGCCAACGGGCCTTGATGCAAGGCGTCAGAGCTGGACGTCTGGGGAGCTGGCTGTAGTCGTCTTCTAGATGCAGGTCTAGAATCATCCCGTTCCCATGGAAACACAGCCACAGGTGTGGAAAAGATGTCTGCTTGGTCAGACGGGTGGCGCTGGGGTGTGCTTTTGGTTTGTTGTCGTGAAGCTGTGGACATGTCTGAAAACTGAAGCTGCTGCTAAAGAAAGAAGTTATGGGTCGTGAGTGGAATTGGAATCTAAATGAGAAATAAAATTTTAGCGAAGTTTACAAACAACAGGGCCACAGGACTCAGAGGCTTTTCAGTTTAAATAAAACGTACTTATGCTCGATATGTTCAGAGTGAATGTACCTTTGTACAGCACTCGTAAGAAGTTTGGAAGCTGAGAAAAGGTTTTTATTTTTTTGGACAGTATGACATGAGCTAAAATTTTTTTTTAAGTTAGATTAAATGAAAGTATGCACTATTAAAACAAATTCATGGAAAAAAAGCAAATAATTTAACCAAAGATCTCTGTATCCAAACTTTATTTTTTTAATCCTAGAGAGTACCGTATGTCAGTTTCTCATTAAAACAGTTAATGTAGCCCATAGGGTGAATTTTTTTTACACTGAACTGTTGTACTGTTTACTTTATGTCACAAGTTGCCAAACTTTTCTGTTTTCAACCAGTTGTCAACCCCAACAACTGCTAAAGTATTCAAACACCACTAATAAGTCATTTAACAAAGAGCCTCATCAAACAATATACTTCTTATGCATTTATCATCACTATTTATGTCTCTGTAAGAGTTAAGGCTAAATATGCTAAAGTTAGTCATTTTAAAAATTTGTTTAATTTTTGTAGATCTCTTCAAAACCCACAACCCACAGTGGGGTCCCGACGCCAACTTTGGGAATCACTGCTCTATGTTAATATTGTTTCAAAGTAGAAATGCACAATATTGGATTTTTGGCAGATATCCGATATGCCAATATGTTAAAACTTATTTAGCCGATAACTGATACAAATACCAATATTTTTTTTTCCTAGACCTACTTACAGAAAGCTTTCTCTGCAGTGGAATTAAAATACTACATTATTCTGCATGATCTTTGTCAATTTGGGCTGCTACCAAATGCAGATAACAAAAAAGGGGCTGAAAATGATGCAACACTTCAACTTGGATTATGTTTATTGTCAAATTTATTCATGACATTTACTCTAACACAATGACAACACTCGAACAATACAAACTTTTATATCGGTGAGTTATTTTGATGGAATGGCCGATGTCTGATATTTAACTTTATCGCTAATATCCGCCAATAACGATAATATTGTGCATCCCTATTTCAAAGCACGTACACAGTTTATCTTTAAAATACCCACTGGCACATGCATACTACTGTGAAATTAGCCTTAGCTATGCCAGTTCCAGCTTCAACCTATCACCTAGTAAATAAAAACAGGTATATCAATCAACCTTTATTTATACAGGTAAATCCCATTGAGCCTCGAGGACTCATTTACAAGAGAGACCTGATATATCATGTAGAACAGGAGTAAAACTAAAACACATTTCGTTAAACCCTTAATCTAAAGGTTTTTCTTAAAAAATACAATTGTATAAATATATGTGTTACATTTACTTTCTATATGGCAGACAAATTTTGAGGCACAAGCTTCTCTGTCTTAAAAGCCAAACTAAGACTTTACTAACTCTAAGCAGGATATTTCCTTTCTTCTTAATTAGGTTTCTAATATGGCAAGAGCACACATCCACCTGGTCTATATGGGTGGAAAAAATTCATTAATTTGTTAAGGTAAGCCTAGAATTTGGAGATATAATGAAAGAGAAGCGTATTGTGAAGAAGACTTGAGCTTTTCCGAAATGAAAGAAGCTAAATCCTCCCAGTGAGAACGGATAAAACTCCACAGGAGACTTGGGTTTACCACAGAAAGCTCAGTGAAGAATAAGCTGGTACTTACTCGGATGTGATGAGCTCGGCTCGGCCCTTCATCTCGCTGCCCTGATCTTTCTTCCTGTTTGCTGCCTGCAGGACAAAAACACAGCATGGCGACTGAATTTAGAGCCTAAACCCTACCACCAAAGTTAAACAACAACTGCAGCAGTGAATATCGAAGTAGTTTGGTAACAACTGCAGGACAAACACAACAATCCCCAGAGAGTGATGGGCTGGGAAAACATCAGCGCTGGAGGATTTTATTTATAATCACTCTGCTCATCAGGGAATATTTGTGGTTTTATCTTTTAGTTTTCTAAATTACACAGTGCATTAGCGGAAAGAGAAAGATGAAACCACTAAAGAGAACACACATAGGAGTCATAAATTTCTAAAACTGTACCATTGTGCTCCCAGGGTGATGTGGTATTCCAACAGGGTGTGGAAAACAGAGTGGCGTCTGCCAGCCTGCTGCTATTCTGCAGCTTTTCCAGCTCAGCTTCCAGCCTGGCACAGAACAAGAGACGGAGGAAAAACAAAGGCAGAGGAACAGAAAAGGGTTAAAAAGATTAATGTGACCCTGACACAGGAAATCAATCCAGGTAAAGCAACAGAAACAAACAACCAAGCAAAAAAAGTAAAAAGTTACATAGCAATAGTATAACTTGGAGACATCCATTTTGGTTATTAATTTTTATTTTATTACCAAGTTAAATTGTAGCAACAGCTAAGTAATTACAAGGCAAACAATTCCAGTGTTTAATAATACCTTTATAATTGTAGCAAAAAATAAAAATAAAAAGTAAAACATAAAAAAGCAATTGAAAGTTAATCCAACCAAGTTAAGTCAGGTAAAGGACAATTTCTTTTCTATTTTCAGAGGACCTGACTTAACGTTACTGAATTTTTCCACCTGGATTATTGAGCATGAATCAGGATGAATAGAAAGCGAATGATCATTTTTACTTGTGCTGACCTTTTGACTTCCTGGGTGAGCTTGTTGTTGAGGGTGTGAGCAGCATCCAGTTGCCCCTCCAAAGAACATATTTGGGCCTGTCTGGTGTGAAGCTCCTGGTTCAGACGCTCCTTGCTGGTTATGGCTGCCTGGGCCTCTTCCCGAACACTCTGAAGCTCTCTCTGTATGGACTGCAGCTCCCCACGGACATCGTCATACTTCATAGAAAAAGAGGAAATCTTTATGAGCATGTTTCAAGATGATAAAAGCTGAAAGCAAATAGTGGGAGACACACATAGCCTGGTTGTGTATACCTTTGCAGTTTGTTTTTCAAGGTTGGTATGGATGTTGTCCAGCTGCAGCTGTTTTTGTTTGTTCTCTCTGGACAGCCGCTCCTTATGGATCTGCAGCTCCTTCACTTTTTGCAGAACCCGTCCAGACAGGCCCACCGTCCAGTCCTCCTCAGCCCAGCTCATGTCTGTCTGCCTGGGCCTGACATGACGGAGGTACAAGCACACCAACACAGGTTCACTGAAGTTTCAAGAGGAGTTATTTTCTATATTTTAAATGTTAATCTCTGGTGTAAAAAAATATTAAAGCTTCTTGGTAGGTTAGATTAAAAAAACTTAAAGTTATGTTATTTGTGATTTTAATTAAAAAAAACTGAAGCAACAAGCTAGTACAGCCTTTTACTTAAACAATAGAGCATAAAGTTCTACGTTTGCTTGTGTTGGGACACAGTATACATCTGTACATATCTAAACTTGTCCCAATTATCTGTGCATCTACATCATGTCTTGAAAATATTGTGTTGCTAAGGGTTTGAAGCCTCAGGGAGACCGTGGTTGTCACAGCTGGGCAGCTGTGACTGAAAGTTTTCCAAACCAAACTTCCTGTAATGTCCCATTAAGACTGAAAGGTCATAAACATGTCCTTTAATCCTGAAGCTTTTGCAAAAACGGACACACTTTCAAATAAAACCTGCTTTAGTTGTATATGTCAAGTCAAAAGTACACTAACACCCTGTCAGTTATCAGTTTGGACATAAACAAACATACAGTCAGATAAGTGACGTTAAAAGTGAGAGCGATGGAATGAAGACAAACCTGACTGAGAACGATCGCCTTGACAAAACTCAGTTTGGACACGTATTAGAGCCTCAAGGCTATCAACGCCAGAACTGAAGCCAGCCTGCCAAAGCACGAAGGTGGTGTCAGTGTCTGTTTTGCTTCTTCCCAGGACTCCCAGGGTGCAGTGACAAACATGCCATTGTCAAATGACACAGAAAGCTGCTCAAGACTGAGTTACTGACTGTACTCCTCAATGAAAAGAAGATCCCGCTTTTAATGAAAGTAGTCAACAGTTTAGACCAGCTGCTAACAAAAAGAGAGATTTAGTATGAGCAAGCTTTGCTTTTTGTCTGACTATCTAACTATGATAATATATGATAGTAAAAGCAGGAAATCTTTGCGTTCAGATAAATCTGGATATCTGAGGATTTTGCATTTTGTCTGGTTGGCTTCTTACAACTACTTTTTGTTCATTAAGTAATTGTTGTTCCAGCTCAGAAACAGACTAAGTCCAGGACTTAATTCCAATGTTGCACCGGGTGTTTTGAGATGATCCATCTACTTATGGAGTCACACACACACACACACACACAGAGTAAACCAGAGATTTATATTCTTCTGCACATTTTCTGTCAGACATCCGTCACACGTCATCACAACAATGTTATTACCAATGAAACATATTTGACTAAAGTTTTACAAAACTGCCTTTGCTCAGATGAAATAAACATTACTGCTGTCAGTTCAAAATATTGCACAACTATCACATGACAATTACTACAGACCTAAAGGTTTATCCTCTGATCCCTCTTCATGTTTTCTCAGTTGTCAAAACAATAAAGGAATAAGAAATCACAAAGCAGAAACTAAACAAACTTACAACAGTGTTTTTGTGTTATAGATACTGGATACTAAAAGTAGCAAACGTACAGATTAAAACAGAAACGTATATCAAATTAAGTTGGACTTTACACACCAAAATCAATATTACACGACGATGTGGTTCATATATGCCTCTATCTTCAAAATGAATGAATATAATGAAGAATTCTTGCTCGTAAATTGTAATAGTCCACACAACCAGTGTAGGATGATGGAGAACCACCGGTGACTCACGACATTATAACAAACAGAAACTCACTTTAGTGTTTGTTCCACCAGCCGTCAAGCGACTGAACGATGCTAAAGCTAACAGCAGAGAAGCTACTCACCATTCACTGCAGTTACAAAGGGCGCGAGCCGTCGACTGTGGACGGGAAGAACGCTCGAGCGCAGCTCTGACACCGTTTAAATAAACTGTGTTAAAGTTACACCAGCGAGTGAACAGCGGCGGCTTTGGAACAACATAAACGCTACGGTTGACAGTTTTGTACAGGAGAGACAAACGCGCGCGCGCGCACGAATCTTGTGCAGCTAAATAAAAACCATGAGCACGAGGAACTGGGAACAGGGGTGAGTGACGTAACAGGAGAATGTTTTGGGAAAAGTCCGCGTGGCGTGTGAACCTCGGATGACCTCTAGCGACGTGATGCACCCATGCACACGTTTCGATTGAGGGCAATCCGTTGTAACATATAATCAAAACGCATTCCTTTCTCTTGAGTACTTTGTAAGGCATTCCTCCCTGTCAAAACGGCATTCTCACATGTTTTGGGCCATTTCATTTTTAACATCCTAATTAAAACTTACAACTAATTGTTTTGTACAGGAAGTCTCACTGAGTCATGAGAACTCCTTTTCAAGAGAGACCTGTTTTTGGGAGCAAATGGTGGGGGTTAAGGGCTTTGCTCAGGGGCCCAGAGTGGGGCAAAGATGAGGGTGGAGGCAGGTGTGTGTGTTTCACCTTTTCCACCCACATTTTGAATTTGATGATACCGGGAGTTGAACCTGCAACTTTCTGATCACAGGCCCATCTTCTTTAATTTCTGCACCACCGCACCCCTAATATCAGTTGTTATGCAGATACAGGGGGCAGCACGGTGGTGCAACAGGTAGAGCTGCTGCCTCTCAGCGAGCAGGCTGCCCTGGTTCAAATCCCAGTTCGAAGGCCCTTCTGGGTGGAATTTGCATGTTCTCTCCGTGCATGTGTGGGTTTTCTCAAGACTGCCACCATCATCCCAGTCCAAAAAAGCTCTACAGTGACTCGTCTGAATGACTATCGGCCAGTGGCCCTCACCCCGATAGTTGCTAAATGCTTCAAAAAACTGGTCATGACTCACATCAAAACAACCATCAACATCATCGAGGACCCTCATCAGTACGCATACCGTGAGAACCGATCAACAGAGGATGCCATCTCCTCTGTGGTCCACACTGTGCTCAACCACGTGGAGCAGAAAAACTCTTACATCCGTATGCTCTTTGTGGACTTCACATCCGCCTTCAACACCATGATCCCCCAAACCCTGATGGACAAACTATTCACACTAGGACTAAGCCCCTCCATTTGCAACTGGGTACTAGACTTCTTAACAAACAGACCACGGTTAGTGAGCATCCACAACTTCTCCTCCTCCTCCACCATAACCCTTCTTGCTTAGCACTGGCTCTCCTCAGGGATGTGTGTTGAGCCCCCTCCTGTTTACTCTGCTCATGTATGATTGTGCAGCTACCCATCCAGGCTGTCACATTGTAAAGTTTGCAGATGATACAGCGGTGGTGGGATGCATCACAAACAATGATGAGTCCAGCTACAGGCAAGAGGTGGAACACCTGGAGAGCTGGTGCAAAGAGAATAACCTTCACATCAATGTGAAGAAGACAAAGGAGATGATTGTGGACTTCAGTTGGAACAAAAAACATATACCC